AGATTTCTTGAATAAAATATTATTAGAAAATAATTCTCAAAATTTCAAAGTAAACGCGTTTTCCATTTTTATGTTTTCAAAAACAGTTTTTTAGAATGGCAAAAAGAACGCATTTTCAGAAATTTCAAAACAGACACTTGAAACACAAAACACAAAATGAATTTAAAACTTAAAACACAAAACTGAAATACAAAGAGAACGACACTTAGCAACTTATAAGAAAGTTTTATGTAGCTAATGTTTGACATAAATATTTTTTTATACTTGCGCTATTATATAGTCAACTACATCATGACACGTGCCTTGCACGTGCTTCTCACTAGTGTTGAAAAAACTCCTTGTTTGATCATCATTTGACTAATTTTGAAAAAGGTAAAATAATCTTTCACCATTTATTAATTAAAAAGGATAATTTGCATCAAAAGTCTCAAACTTTTAAAAAATGTGCAGTGAAAATTCCAAACCTTTATGTTGGAAGGACCTATAACGATTTTCATTCAAAAATATGTCGGTTGACAAAAATACACATATTCTCCAATCACCATAACTACTCATTCCAACGCCTAGCGACTAACATACCCCGATCTCACCATTGCCAAGTGAGGGAGCCTCCACTACCACTGCAACCGTTGGTTTTGAAGAGAAATTATCTATTTTTATCAATGTCTTATCGATTTTTTAAAGGTTCTAATAAATGGAGTTGATGGGGATGGAGAAAAAAAGGGTCGATGGAGGTGAAGGAAATGAGGAGACCGCCATGGCTGACTAGTTGAAATAACTCAAAATGTAATCAATGTCCTATAACTGCTTACTCAAATATGCAATGAACAATTAACTGGAAATAAATAAAATATTATTTATTAATAGGCAGAACAAAATGTCATAAAATACGATTATGTTCTAACACTTTAGGGCACCTACTCCAACATAAATTCTTAATCAATTGAATACCAAAACATAGATTAACATATAAGTACTTGGACTACTCATTTTAATTTTTTAAGATGAAATTATGAATCTCAATAGTTAAGAACTTATTTCTTCTCCCAATTTGTGTACATTAATGGAAAGTAAAAGTATAATATACGGTGCGTAGTACATGGTTTTCTTCATCATGTATTATCATTTGAATGTAAACTNCAGCTTGGATTGCAGATCGTGATCATTGGAGTTCAAGAAAAAGCAAAAGAGTTTGTGGAATTCATCAAAGGTATCATTCTCATCACAGTTTCTATCTAAACACATTGCAGATCCTCGTTTGGGAATTGAAAATTGTTTAATTTCCGCTGTGCATGTTAAGTAAATTCCCAACAGAAGCAACATTCAAGTAACCAAATTAAGTATTACAAGTAAGTAGAAAGTATAATATGAATATTTCCATGCACAATGGCATGTTAGAAGCCAAAATCACTAGAGAGTTGATCATTCAACTTAGGCGATTTTTAATTTTCAGTTAATGATGCTTTTGGAATATGTAGTCATTATTGATTAAAGTTTTTTGTAGACTATGGTGGACAAGAAATCCAAAATCACTAAAGAGTTGTCGTCTCCCATTTTAATCAAACTCTGAAGCTAAAAGAAATAAAGAATAATTGCAGTGATGATCCATAGCTTTTAAAAATGTGTAGGTTCTACTCAAATCTTTTATTTGTAGTAGTGTTGGTTCCAATCCTTCCAAAATGTGGTGAAAAGGCCTTTTGATGATTTCTGTCCAAAATGTCATTTGTTGAAAAAAGTCCTTGTTTGATCATCACTTGACTAATTTTGAAAAAGGTGAAATAATCTTTCACCATTTATTAATTAAAAAGGATAATTTGCATCAAAAGTCTCAAACTTTTAAAAAATGTGCAGTGAAAATTCCAAACCTTTAGGTTGGAAGGACCTATAACGATTTTCATTCAAAAATATGTCGGTTGACAAAAATACACATATTCTCCAATCACCATAACTACTCATTCCAACGCCTAGCGACTAACATACCCCGATCTCACCATTGCCAAGTGAGGGAGCCTCCACTACCACTGCAACCGTTGGTTTTGAAGAGAAATTATCTATTTTTATCTATGTCTTATCGATTTTTTAAAGGTTCTAATAAATGGAGTTGATGGGGATGGAGAAAAATAGGGTCGATGGAGGTGAAGGAAATGAGGGGACCGCGATGGCTGACTAGTTGAAATAACTCAAAATGTAATCAATGTCCTATAATTGCTTACTCAAATATGCAATGAACAATTAACTGGAAATAAATAATATATTATTTATTAATAGGTAGAACAAAATGTCATAAAATACAATTACGTTCTAACACTTTAGGGCACCTACTTCAACATAAATTCTTAATCAGTTGAATACCAAAACATAGATTAACATATAAGTACTTGGACTGCTCATTTTAAAACATATACGTACTTGGACTGCTCATTTTAAAAGGTTGATCTTTTAAGATGAAATTATGAATCTCAATAGTTAAGAACTTATTCCCTCTCCCAATTTGTGTACATTAATGGAAAGTAAAAGTAAAATATACGGTGCGCAGTATATGGTTTTCTTCATAATGTATTATCATTTGAATGTAAACTTCCCAATATTTCATTGTTTAAAAAAAAAAAAAAAATTTCACATACATAAAGCAGACTACTGTTAATTCTTCTTTATTGCTGAAAATATCATAAACATACTTTATTATTCAAAAAAAAAAAAAAATTAATAATAATACTCACACACAAACCCATCTTACAGGATTACTTCAATACGTAATTTGTGATTCCTGGAAAATGGGTGTTCATAAAGTAATCTTCCCATTGAATGCACTTTGGATCAAAATTAAACACTTGACTTCCTCTAACTGTTGTTCGTAGATTTTCAGCAGTAGTGTCATCAAAGCTGCAAATAAAATGGAGCAATATAATTGTCTTCGGAAATTTGCACCACAAAATGCTATATTTAAGATAAATGATGAGCTCAAGATGTTAATGGAAACAGGAAAAAAGTAACTTCTTTCAAATTTATTTCTTCTTAAATTTTGTCTCCACTAGTTGCTCAAAGATTAATTCTTGGATAAGAGGAAAGGTTTTTTGTAATAATTACTTCTCGTTTGTATCACATTTCAAAATTTGAGCAACCAAGTGTTGATTAACTTATATAGAAAGAAAAACGTAGATACGTACATTCCGTGAAAGAACAAGTACGGTTTGTAGAGTTCTGCCAGACTTATCGCATAATCAATTCTTCGTCTTGCATTG